GAGGGCCAGTATTTCACAGGGTTAGCTACACTGACTCCTTGCGATCTTGCTACGGCACGAAAAGTGTAAAAACGCATAATCGCACCGGGCCGCCTGATGCGTTCCAGCCTGGGTTTATTATTTTAATAACTCGTGCTGGCGTTCTTTCCTCTTTACTTTACAACTGTGAAATATGAAATCTATGAGGCTGGCAGAAGTGTATAGATGACAAAATGTAGTTTTTGTATAAATTATGTGTGTACTTATTACATAGGTCTTTATATCTAAAAGTAAAACTTTTATTAGTTGTTAATGTCATTGTTTTTTTTTATAATTCTAATAAATACTATTATTGTAATTATCTTTATTATAACTGTCATTATCACCGTTATTATTGAACGTTTGTCAATTTTAAAATTAGTGTGGTTGTGTGTGTACTTTTTTCTTTGAAATGTCGTTTCCAGTGATGCTAATCTTTTGAGTTGTCAAACTGGCAGTACGTGCCATACTAAGCGTCAAAATGCGTCTCAGGTTCCTCTATTATTCGGACTGGCATCGCGAGCATCCAGTAATCGGAAGAATGCGTCTTGACGGCACCGAAAATATTCCGTTTGTTAACACTGATATTCATTTACCGAATGGTGAGTTGTTAAAAGTTTGTTCTAGCTGTCATAAAAAATATAGCTACTCACCACCGTTGTCCAATTCGTTGAGTTAATCGCCCACTTTGGAATTCGAAATTACCGCTTAACAGAACCCGGCTGATTCTACGTAAAATTGCATAGGGTAATTTCGGATTTATTCGGTGTTTAGCATTGTCGGCGCATTTTCTTAGAGGTATTTTTAGCAATTTTTTGTGAATTTGCATGATTCAGGATTAGCAGTTTTATTGGAAAGACGCGAACTGTGCTGGGTTGATGCTGGCCTGCAACGATTGTCTTGCATTGGCTTGGATGGTCGCAATCGCCGAATTGTATTTGCACCACTACAGTATCCCTTCGGCTTAACTGTACACAACGAGCAGCGCTTTTACTGGACCGATTGGAGCGAGTAAGGTTTTACTGCTGCATTGTGTTTGCAGTATCGGAAGCTGCCAAAATTTATTTAGTGCAAAAGCTGGACTGAAAATTTTTCACTGAACAACAGCAGGGTGTGACCAATAGGCACTCTTATTGACCCATCACTTTTTCTATGCGTTTTTGTATAACTAATGGAACAAAAGTGCATTAAAGCGCGATCGTGATTGTGCGCCTTTTTGCTTGATTAAGCTCAGCTCCGTTATCAGCCCAGGCTGGAACTCACTAGGCGAGCTGGTGCGATCATGCGTTTTTGCATTATTTCATGCTGTAGCAAGATTGTAAGGAATCACAATAACTAGTATTTGCGATATACTGGCCCTCTAAATTCAGGAAGTTAATAGCGCAGCTATATGACATGTCAGTTTTAGACGTCAGCTTCAGTGACCCGACAAATGGAAAGTTGCGGAGAAAAGACTTCACTAGAAGAGCTGAGTTTGAAATCTTTCAGTCACGCATGAACAGGGAACATTCCCTTAAAATTCCAGCTTTCCAGCTTTTCTTGCCCCCGAATTAGCAATTTTCCTGCCAAAACTTTCGCTTGCCCCTACGGTCGGTTCCTAGGAGCTGAATTTGAAGTCTTTTGGTCACACATGAGCAATGAACATTCCCCTAAAGTTTTAACTCCCCAGCTTCTCTCGTTCCCGAATTACCAATTCTTCCATCAAAACTTTCACGTGCCCGTACGTGAGTCTCGGGCGTTTCCAAGGAGCTCAGTTTTAAGCTTTATGGTCGCACGTGAGTAATGAACATCTCCCTAAAGTTTTAACTCCTAGCTTTTCCCGTTCCCCAGTTAGCAGTTTTCCCGCCAAAATTTTCA